CCAGAGTGAGCCAGATTGCTCGTGTTTAAGTAATACTCGACATATGTTACCTGCGTGCGTGAAACGCGCGGTGGGTGTTCGTGTAAACAGGGTTAAACAATCCGCCCGTTGCGTGTAACTGCACGCCAGCAAACTGACAATTTAGCAACGCCATTCGACTTCTATCCGCGCAACCCTGTGCTTTAACAGAACGAAACGTTTCCAATAACGTTTGACAATAATACGTCTCGTCAGAAATTCTGAAGGCTCGAGATGACTCCGAAGCAGGAGTGTCTCTCTTGCCTCTTGCAGGCAGTCATTTATCATCAAGTGAAATGCAACTCGGTGAAGAATTCGAACAAGAATTTCTTAAGGGCACAAGCTGTGCTTCTTTTCTCAAGTTCCACTTGAACAATATTTCTGGAAATCATTCGTTTTCATAAGTCCAAGCTGTGGCTGAGTGAATTTACACATTTGTAAATGAAAAACACATGTCACATCCAATCCATGTTGTTCGTAAGAATGTATCATGTTTCAATCAATTTCCTCCAATAGTTTTGGATAGATGTGAACAGTCAAGTATGTGCGAAATTTTTCGTCCCAATTTTCATCAATCGCTGTGTTGTATAATGAAGTACCATCACGTTCAATTCAATAAATAATTCTCGGAACAGCCAGTCTGGTGGCAACACTGTCCGTATTATTTTGTAATTTTAATTCTCATCGCCGGTAGTGCTGCGGTGCAAAACCTGCATTGAATCGGTACGGCAGGACGTGACACGAAAATGGTAATGGCAGTCCGAAGGAATTGCAAAATCGTGGCTGAAAAAGTACACAATTGTATTTACAGGTTAGGTCTAGCATTCACAGAAGACTTTTTACTGTATATGTGGCGAGCAGTAAAAATATTATGCCAGGTTAACGTCTGCAACAATCAATAAATATGAAAATATTCTATTACTACGTGTTGTTTAAAGACCGGTCATTTTGACTGGTTTTGGTAGACAATAGCTGTCGATAGTTCTAGCGTTAAAGAAGTCAGGCCACTGCTGGCAGGAGATCTCTCCTCATCGAGGGTCGATGGCGGCGACGGTAATGACGGTGTCGGTGAGGCTGGTCTTCGGGTAGACGAAGGGTGCGGCGAACCGTGGCATCATTCACCAGGACTCTGGTTTACCGCCGACGAGCCTGAACGATGCTCCACGTCACCGATGCATTATTGAGCCTGGGAACCCTACAGGTGGCCGGGCGTTCTGTTGGAACGAGAGAGAGAGAGAGAGATCGCGGGGGCAGGGTCGCTCCGAGGGCCTCGACGAACAGGGAGCTCTCTCGCTGACTGGCCAAAGGGACGAAGAACGCTGAGAGGTGGAGAACAACCGGCAGCCACGCCGGAAGAAAGGGGTTGCAAAAGTCAACGGAAGCATTACTTGGGATATTTCAGTCTGACCTCGGAGTCAGTTCCCCTCCGTTTCCTCTTCGTCGAGAGCTCCTCCTTGTAGAAGGTTTCGCGTACGCGCGATTTTCTTCCAAATTGTTTCGTCAAGACCTTCCAAGAAATTATTCATCAAACTGCTCGATAACACTTTATACCCGATGTCGACTGAGCATTGAGAGAATCGAGCGACGTTTAACAATCGTTTGACCTCTCGTTGTCTGTAAGATGGAGAGAAAAGTTTGCTCGTGACCTTCGATTTGACGGAGATACATGTAAAGGAACTTGACCTTGAGTTTCAAGCTCAAATTTTCCAAGAAACTATAAGTCGCAACCTAATAGTTCTTCTATCGAGAAAAGTTTCTTAATCACTTAACATTGCGGACGCGTGCGTGCTAACAGCGACTTTACTTTTGAATTAGGCTTCATTAACACTTGATTTGTCACATCATGTTGCAACATCATGAGTATGAGTCTAAATACAATCAATTGATAAAACCAACTATTAACGTTATTCGAAATATAAACATTACGTGACACAGACATCCACGCGTCCAGAACCATAAAGTCGTTGTTAGGACGCACGCGTATTAAACGATTGAGAAACTTTTTTGCCTATTGGATTCTGACTTATGTCGCGGTGAGTAGAGTACAAATGCAAGAATAAAAAAAAAAAATCTTTTTACTTTGAAATTCATTTCTTGTCACCCTGTACACTCGAAGATTCGTAACTTATTATTGGCAGTACGAGTTCTGAACAACGTTGATCAGTTTAGAACGTAGTTTTTGCTTCGCGATGCAACTTCCCTAACGCGTAATTGCGTTTCGATGGCAGAGTTTCAGGGCAGAATGGAGGACAACAGCCGGGGCGAAAGTTTGTGCAAAGTTTGCGGCGACAAGGCATCTGGCAAGCACTACGGCGTGCCGAGTTGCGACGGTTGCCGCGGCTTTTTCAAACGGTCGATCCGCAGGTATGCAAGGTAATTAATTTGCGAATTAAAATTCGTAAATCCAGCCTCTTTAACAATCGCCATGTCGGTCGCACACACTTTCCCGTTTCACTGTTGTTCAACAAATTCTACAGGGTGGGCCAAAGATAAATCCGTAACCTTTTTTTATCACACATTTTTTTACAGATCAAAGTACACAAAAGATTTAGAATCAACGAACTTGAATTTAATTCAAAACTAATAAAGTTAGTCTGTTTAGTTCTTACGTTTTGATGTTTAAGAAAAGAAAAAATAGGAAAGAAACTTTTGGTCCACCCTGATCAATATGATCAATTATCTATAATAACATCCAATGACATTGTGCAGAAACCTCGATTACGTTTGCAAGGAGAACGGTCGCTGCATCGTAGACGTCTCTCGGCGCAATCAGTGCCAGGCATGTCGGTTCACCAAGTGCCTGCAGGTCAACATGAAACGAGATGGTACGCTTCGCTTCAAAGGTCATTACGTTTCCATTCTTTAAAAATCGCGAATTAAGAGTCGTCTCTGAGCCATAGATTTAATCTCTCGGAGGAACTGCTTCACAGGTGATCTCGCCGCCCGCGCGTTGTACTAAAAAAATCGGCCAAAAAGTGTAATCTTTTTTTCGAGTGCAACTGAGAGAGCCATTTTGAATCGAGAAAATTACTTTATTACTTTCGTGTGCAAATGAAGGGCAAATTTTTAATCGAGAAACAAAATTTTGTTAGACTATACGCTTCGTGGCCATTTTGCTCGATTACCTTTTGCCATTTTTCAATCGGCAACTTCATGATTCTGCGTTCAAAATACCTTTTTCTTTTTTCGACAAATAGAACTAAGACTTTTTGGAAGTAGCGCAGCAAAATATGTCGAAAATGTTCCTTTCTTTTTTTTTTGGTCGAAAAATTATTGACGAGATTGTGTGTTTCCTTTTTTTAAAAACGAGCTCGAACAATCAGGTATCAGATAGATTCAGCACGATGAATTTAAAATTCTGCAATTTAGAATGAAGTTAGTTACATTTTAAGAAGATGTTAAAAAAAAATTCCAATTACTAACTTATCGTATATTTATTGTTAATATTTATTTCTTCTTTTTTAATTCCTCGCCGTGAACCGTTTCCTCGATGATTTCTTACTATAAAAAAATATAATTTTATTTTGGTTAAAATAAAATTAAATAATTTAGTAATAATTAAGCATTAAAAATAATACTAAATACTAAATTATTAGCAATGTAAAATATATTAATTTTAAGCAATATAATATATTCACGTTTTATAAAGATTTGAATTTTATCTGGCTCTATTCTTTCTGACGGTACTATACATTCGTTTTTTAGTTTGTAATAGAATGTCACAATTTTCAACACAATTATAATAGAAAGTTGTCCATATAAAGATGATGCCACAAGTACGTATATGGAGAAACAATATTTTGTATTGTTTCAATAAATTTCAATCCCCGAGCACAATAAATCTCAAAGTAGGTATTACCTTGTGACACTTTCAGAATTCTGTATTTTATTGTACAATTTTCAATGCACTGTAGGCTCTAAAATTTCTTGGTTAGGTTTGTAAACATTTATTAAATTCTGACATAAAATAAAATAAAATAAAATAGTCTACAATCAGTTTTAGTTTATATAGTCTATTTAGGTTCTTGGTTAGGTTTGTATATTTTATATAGTCTATTTAGTTTTCTTGGTTAGGTTTGTTATTTTAAATATTTAGTTTTCTTGGTTAGGTTAACATTTATAAATTTTGACATAAAATAAAATAAAATAGTCTACAATCAGTTTTAGTTTATATAGTCTATTT